TTATTGGAACGAAATTAAATTCTAAAACAAATATCTATAAAACAGAAATTTCGATTCAATCTTCTGTAAATAAAATCTTACAATTCTACGACTTCCATAAAATTTAGTCTTTAAAGTCTCGGAAGAGACTCGCAAGTTTAGAATGATTGAACCGAAGAGGGAGGACTGGATGCAGCAATTTCTCCGCAATTCGCGCTCAGATTGCGCCCAAAAATGTACAATTTGGGCGCCCCTCGCGTCCTAATATTTTATTATTATTATACTATAAACTATAATTTCTATAGTTTCCGATATCCCGACATTGATGAAAACGTGGTACAAGGCTCAAATAATGATTCTCTTCCTCTTGGTCCAAATGGTCTATTTTTCGCGAATTAAGAAGCAATTACTGTAAAAAAAGCGATGAACGATACGATGGCTCGTCGAAGAGGATCGCGTGGTTGTCGACGTGAAACCAGGAAGCCCGAGGATAGGTTTCCATCGAGAGGACACGGCCGTTTGACCGTTTTCGAGCGTTTTCGACCGATCGAGCACCGGACACGAGCCACCGGGAAACAGAAGCGAGAAGGGTGGCGGTAATCGGTCGGTCGGGTCCGAAGCTAATTGCTTCGCGTCCACGCTTCTAGGGCTGCCCTGTGTGTCTCTTCTTACGTTCCGCTCCGTTCTATTCGCCGTGTACTCAATTAAAGGTTAACCAATTAGCGGCGCCGCGAAAGGATTCGGCGCAGCTGACGCGTGCACCTTCGAGCTCTCGGTTTCTCTGCCCCCCTTCCCCCCTGGGCGGAGCGGGGTGGCGGGTGCAACAATTGCAGAATAATTGAGGACTCGATCGCGCGATCGTAATACGCAAAAACGGTTCTCCTGTTTCGCGATTGCGGTGTTCTTCGAACCTTAACCCTCGTCGCTCCAACGAACTTCTCGTTTCGAGCGTGCTATACTTCGTGCACGCTCTCGTTACGCATTCCTTCTGAATATCGTTATCGAATATCGTTCGTCCGGTTGCTCGGCGCAATCGATAATCGCTCGCGTTAACGCTAAACCGAGCTTTCGTAACGATCGAAAAAAGATTGTATTTATTTCGGCTCTCTTCCTCAATTTCATTATAAAGCGTGCTCGCATCGTGATTTATTTAATTGTTCTCTGTTAACGAGTCTTTCTAATTCCAGCTATTATGGTGCAAATGATCTGAAATCGATATTGTTAACCGGCTTTAAAAGATCAGGTTTACGAGTCGCGTCAAAATTACCGGAATTTCTGAGGAATTTATCGAGTTATTGTTTTTTATTTATGATTTATTATATCTTCGGACAAATGCTCCTGCAAGAATGACTAGAAAACGAGGGAATATATTATTGATGGATTGAGTTCATTTCTACATTGATGGATCGAGTGTATCAAATTAGCATTTGTGAAATGCGAGACCAACGGTAATTAGTCTTGATTTTATGGAACTTCTTAGGTTGCTTACGTGTAAGTTTCTAGTAATGAAGAGCATGGTTGCGAGAACGATCATTTTGCTCTGCTGGAATTGTGTTTTAGACGTACGCGTCCTGAAAGGCGCCGCATCGCGTCGAGAAATGCATCGCGTCCGAAAAAGGAACGCATCGCATCGCATCTAAAAACTCGTCGCATTGCGTCTAGAAACGCATCGCATCGCTTCTAAAAACTTATCGCATTGCGTCTATAAATGCATCGCTCCGCGTCTAGAGACGCATCGGCTCGCATCGCGTTTAGAAACGCATCGCATTGCTTCTGGAAACTCATCGCATTGCGTCTAGAAATGCATCGCTCCGCGTCTAGAAACGCATCGGCTCGCATCGCGTTTAGAAACGCATCGCATCGCGTCTAGAAACGCATCGCATTGCGTCTAGAAACGCATCGCATCGCTTCTAAAAACTCATCGCATTGCGTCTAGAAATGCATCGGCTCGCATTGCGTCTAGAAATGCATCGCATTGCGTCTAGAAACGCATCGCATTGCGTCTAGAAACGCATCGCATCGCTTCTAAAAACTCATCGCATTGCGTCTAGAAATGCATCGGCTCGCATTGCGTCTAGAAATGCATCGCATTGCGTCTAGAAACGCATCGCATTGCGTCTAGAAACGCATCGCATCGCTTCTAAAAACTCATCGCATCGCGTCTAGAAACGCATCGCCTCGCATCGCGTCTAGAAATGCATCGGCTCGCATTGCGTCTAGAAACGCATCGCATCGCATCTAGAAACGCATCGCATCCCTTCTAGAAACGCATCGCCCCGCATCGTGTCCGGAAACGCATCGCGTCGCGCCTAGAAACGCACACACGTCGACGAAATCCCGCGTCGACTAATTACGCGGGCCGTGTTCGTCGCACACGTGCGCCCGTGTGCCGCTCCTAATTGTCCGTCGCAAGCCTAACCGTCGAAACGGGCCCTCGATTAATCACCGACCGAACCAATTACGACACACGTTGGACCGTAACGGATCGGTCGAAGAAGAATCGGTATCTCGGCACGCGCCGCGGGATTCTCCTGCGATCTGACAAATTGCTAGAGCTCCTTCTTTTGCCGTCCGGGGGGACCCCTCTCGCGTCTCTCCCCTCTTCCGATAACTGCACGCCGAAAACGAAACTTCGAGCTCCGATATATGAGCCGTTTATTTTGAAAGTGGCCTAAGTCATTTTTCAAAAATACCGAGCTAGCTATTTTAATATTTACATTTCTACGTTATACACATAATTTCATGTCAGCAAAGCTGAAAGAATGCAGTGACCCTCAGGAACACACAAACATTGTACCACCATGTTATCAATTAGCAATATTTTTAAATTTATTAAAACGTAAAAACCTTAAATATCTGGATTTTAAAATAAATGGACTTGGGCCACTTTCAAAATAAACGGCTCATATATATATTCCGTTCGTTACGCTCCGATAAGACGCCTCATTTGCGGCCGTTCGATCGCCATTAATTAACAACAAATATTTGTCTTCGTTCGGGTTTCTCCGACGATTTCTCCGTTCTGAGCAGAATGGAGACTCCCTAATGGTACCCTTGGGGTCTACGACGACCCCGGTCAAATTTTCTGCGCGTCGATTTTATCGTTTACTTATCGTAGAACGTGTTCGATTGTCTTCAACTGTTCTTCCGGATTTGTGAATTCGATAATTTCAATCTTTAGAAAAGTCGTCGAAGATTTTCATCCGAGATCGTCGAATGTTACACTGATTTTAACAGTCGCGCGAGCGATGCTCGGGTCCATTTGGACCCACGCTACAGATCTCGTTATTTCGCTGTTTAGTATCTGACAGTTAATTGAAACGTTCGCACGTCTAATTAATGTTCATACGAAAACTAGCGTGACGAAAATGTGTTCAACAAATTAATAGATAATTATACAATTATAAATATCTACTTATATTATTTTATTTATGTATATTATTTATATATTATTTTATTTAAATATATTATTTATATACATTATTTTATTTAAATATATTATTTATATATTATTTTATTTTTATTATTATAAATATTATACTAATTATAAAACGTACTGTGCTAAATTTTCGTCAAAAAAGGGGACCCGCATTCGAGCGTCGTGAAGAAAATAGCCTTTCTTCATCGATCGTTCAGCATACGATATTATTGTTGCTATCGCGATCGCTCGTGTTGTATCACGAGAAATCGCGAAAAGGTCAGTGGCCACCGGTACAAGTGGCCGGGGTTTAAAGACCGATCGAATAGTTGACCAATCGACGGCCGATCGGCTCGATATCGATTTATTTTGAACCGTCATAAAGCGGCTCGGTTCGATGGTCGTGGGAGCGTCCGGCTTTTTCTCTACCCACATTCGATAAACGAATCGATAAACGAATCGATAAACGAATCGGTCGGTCTCGTCGCTTCCTCGGCGGAGCCACACCGAGCGAGGAAAAAACGAGCCGGCGATCATCGGGGACACGATAATTGGCGAGGAGAAGAGGGCCGGCACCGGCCCACAAAACGCTTAATTATATCCACGAGGCAGCCTGCTTTTTTTCTTCTCCCCCCTCCTATCTTTCTCTTTCACCTTTCTCTCTCTCTCTCTCTCTCTCTCTCTCTCTCTCTCGCTCGCTTCTTCCCGTGGGGAGCATAAACTGTCATGAATCGATCAAACTACTCGTCGAAATGCTGCGAGCGAGGCATCGCCGATCGCTAGGACGACGCAGGTGGTCGATGGCGCGAACTCCTTGATCTTCGATCGGTTCTTTCTTCGTCCTAGCCATGAAAATCCACGGATCGCCTCGTATACTTATATATTTTGTTTACTATTTATTCATTTATTTATATATTTTATGTATTATGTATTTATTTATTTATTTTATTTATTATTCATTTATTTATACATTTTATGATGTATATATTTATATATATTTATATGTCAAGCGTTATATTTATATATATGGACGATGCGAATATTATATTGTGTATATTTTTATTTTATTTCATTTGATTTTATTTTATTTCATTTTATTTTATTACATGTGTATTTATATTATATTTATTATATTTTTTATTATATTTGATTTTATTTTATTACATGTGCATTTATTATATTTATTATATTTGTTATTATATTTTATTTTATTTTATTACATGTATATTTATTATATTTATTATATTTTTCATTATATTCTATTTTATTTTATTTTATTATATGCGTATCTATTATGTTTATTACATTTTTATTATATCATATATTATATATCGTCCACATTTATTGCGCAATAGCAGAAAACGAGCGTGAAACAAATGACAAAATTCCTGTAAATCGCCTCGACCCTAAAAACTGCAACCACAGCTCGTTTCTCACAACGTGGAAAACTCGCTACGCCACTGTTGCGATCCTAACCCAGTAAACTGTCCCTAAACGAAGACTTCGACTTCGATACATTCAGTTCCCACCCCTAAAAATCAAACAAACATCCCGTTGCATCGACTCCGCGCAGAAAAATTCTAATCCCGGATTCCCGTTACAGATGGAGAACCAAGGTTTCGAGGAGGAGCATCAGCCAGGCATCCCACCGTCGGAGCAATCGTTCGCTTTGCCGCGGATCGATTTCGTGGGCCACGCGTCCGCGTCGCACGTGGCGGACGGCCACGTGTACGAGGACATCCTGCCGGGAATAGAGTCGGTCACGAGGATCTCCATCGCCGCGGATCAGCGGCCGAGCAGCAACGAGCAACCCTCGCAGCTCGAAGGAGACAGAATTTCGCGAGCGGCAACGACGACGACGACGACGATGCTCGAGCAAGACGAGTTGTCCTGCGGTTTCCGACGGAACCTGACGCTGCCGTTCCGTCGGTCCGGCGGCCTCGATCCCGCCGGCGCGAACAGTTCCGTGCGCGTGACCAGCCGCGAGAAGAGCAGCTGGCACGAGGAAGCGGAAACCGCGGGAAACGCGGAAACGATCGCGCCGTCGATCGAGAAAGATCGCGATGCCAGGCAGCAGCCGGTCGAGGCCAGGCCTAACAGGAGGCGCAGGAAGAAGGACTGCAAGCATTGCAGGAGCAAGGCCGTCGCGTCGACGTACGACCGGGATTGCGAGATCGACGAGAGGGAGAACGAGGAGGAGATCGTGTCGAGGAAGAACCGGGACAACAAGCAGCGACAGTTCCCGGCGCTGATCGAAGATCCGAGGACGATCCTCGATCCGTGCGACCTCGCCGCGGTCAGAACCTACCCGCCGATCGGCAACAACGGTGACAAGCAGCAGCACCACCCTGCCAGAGGGACGGAGCCCCTCTGCGTTTTCACGATCACCGAGAAGCCCGCGGCCTCGCCGAAAACGCAGCCGAAGCTGATCGAGCTGGAGGATCCAAGGGGCAAGGAGGTCAACAAGCCTGTCCTCGCGCAGGAGAAGAGCAGGGCCGGGATGAGGGTGAACTCGATCTACTCGCAGGACAGATGGTACGCCAAGGAGGCGCCTATCTTCTGCACGGACGTCAAGGAGCACGGATCCTTTCAGGTGAGCCAGACCGCGTTTTGGATCGCACGCGTCGCTTCGGAGTTATTAGACTGCGAACGCCGCGGACTCGGAGAGGACGACGAGGTCTGAAATGTCTCTCTAATTGACGCTCGGATGGTCCACAAATGTGGACAATTTTGGAAGAGGAGATACGATTGTTCGAGCCTTGCGGCTCGGTTTTTATGATTATCGATTGTCAATAATTATAAAAACGAGCTGCGAGCTGCTCGAATAATCGTATCTCCTCTTCCAAAATTGTCCATTCTTGTGGACAATCTGAGCGTCAATTAGGACATTATTATACAGTATACTATACTACATATATATATATACATATATATACTATACTATACTATATTATTACAGACATTACTGTACACTAAATTCTCCACCCTAATTGAGGCCGTAGTTGAGGCGCTTTGAGTTTGTACGCAAAAATGGGCAATTTGGGAAGAGGAGATACGATTGTTCAACGATAGTTTAACAACAATTGGGCTCGAATAATCGTAGCTTCTCTTCCCAAGTTGTAAATTTTTCTGCACAGTCTGGGCGTCAATTAGGGAGACATTACTGTAATGCGCCACATGCGTTCCCCGAAGTCGCGTTACCCGAAAATTTTCATCGTATCACGCGGATAATAGTGCTATCGTGCGTGGAAGAAACATTTTGTTCCATATAAATTCAATAATTTTCATTAGTTTAACAAACTATGTGGTTGTGATTGGTTAAACGAAACCACGAAAATACTTGTTCAGCATTAATCGTTAATCAATTTCCGAATCGTCCAAAATTACAGTATAACGTCTCCGTTCCACTGTAATTAGGCTATTTGTTTGTACATATTTTAATAGACAAAGACATGGCAGAGATATTTGTCATTATGTCTTATTAATTTTGGCTTTAACTCCTTAATTTTATCTCGTGATATTTTACACTGAATCGTGTTAGATTAATAACAGTAATAACATTAATTTCTAATAATATTTGCCGTCGAATAACATTCGCCAAAATTTGCTCGACGTCTATAGACGCCAACATTGCATCAAAGACTTATTTTCATAGTACCTATAGACGCACGCATCGGTGAAATTTATAATCGTGATTCTGTAATCGAGTTCGCGAGAACGTCCGCAGTCTAATTGCTCCGTAATTTTCAGTTATGCGATCTTGACAAATACATAATAGTCATCGATCAAGTTCGTACGAAAATGCGTCGGATTCGGTCATCAGCGTTAATGTTTGCCAGTTGGCGGCAGGAACTACTGTATCATTAGTAGAATCAGACTGTTCGCACAGCACAAGTGTGTAGTTACCGCGCGGGCTGCTAGGTGGCGACGAACACGAGCCAGTTTCCCGCGAGTAAAGTTGTTCGGCCACTGGTATAAGTAGAAACGTGGAGGGTAGGAAAGCATACTTACCTGGCGCAGAGGTTACCGTGATCAAGAAGGCGGTTCCTCCAGGGCGAGGCTTTTCCATTGCACCACGGTTAGGCTGACCCTTGCGAATATCCCTAATGTGGATATCTCGGGCGTATAATTTTTGGTAGTCGGGACTGCGTTCGCGCTGTCCCGGACAATAGAAATTAAACAGAAATATTTTGTACTCTTTTAGATACTTCGTTTGATGCTTTTTAATAAGTAGGAGCAAATTTATTAGAAATTCGTAGGGAGAAATTCATTATAATTCAGTAAAGAAATAGTTACATTGGGTTGGCAACTAAGTAATTGCCGATTTGTTCAATAAAATAAAAATTTCTTTTTACTTGGAACGAAGTTTAATCAGTAATGTATTTTCCATTTTGTTCGATGACCTTTTGCCGTCTCTCTGACAACTTGTGAAAATTCCAAGCGTGGAAGTCTGACTCTTTTCGGCCAAAACCTGAGTTAAGTGAGATTTCACAGCGTCATCGCCGTCAAAAGTTTCACCACGAAGGGAGTTGTGGTAAATGAGGGGTGGTGGGTGTAACATCTATTCCCAACCAATAATCTGAATATACTTTTTTATTAAAAATTATTAATTAGAGCAACGATTGTTTCATTCAGCACAGTTATTATTTAAGACTTGGAACAACATATATATATATATACAGAAACCACGCGCACTGTGCATATTTCTGAAGCCAGTTTCCGTTCGGTGACGGCGTACTTCGGCGGATGGAGCTGCCGTAGCGAGAAAGGGTTAAACTGGTAATTCGATGCCGGTTCTCGTCGAGAACGAATAAATATAATTTCTAAACAATTCATCGACGATAATTAAACGATATACGGACCACCGGAACGAAACGAACGGAAAGAAGAAAGGAGAAGACCGTCGGAACGTTTAACCCCTTAACGTGCACGCTCGAGTTAACACGAGCGCGCTAAACTGGCCAAACTGTGCACACTCGAGATAATTCGAGCGGCGTTGAACTTTATGTTGCTATAATTTTTCACACTCGAATGCAATCGAGAATTGAAAATAACAATGTGAAAGCAAAAAAAAGAAGCAATCGTTTTATCGATATTTATCATTTACATGGGATTGTAAGCTATAACACTTACTAATTCAAGTATAAAATATGTCCTTTTTCTACTTATCACTTACGACTTATCTCTTTCTTGTGAGTCGCTTTCCGACAGCGTATTCATATTCAGATTCTGATTCGCTCATTTTTCAATATATATTTTACTAAAATATAATGTAAAATAAAATATTATAATAATAATAATAATAATAATAATAATGATAATAATAATAATAATAATAATAATAATAACAGTAATATTCTGAAAATTAGAAATCATACCAATTGTATAAATATCCATTATTTTTGTATTTTCTTTTACATTAAAAAAAATTGATTTTCTTTGGCCGGCCTTTTTCAAAAAGACTGTGCATTAAGGGGTTAACGGCGGGAACGGCTGGTTCAACGATCTCGAACTCGGGCTCGAGCAGGTTCAGCGTGGTGTTCCAGACAAACGAGGCATCAATTACGCGAATATATTCCCGTCGGCCGCGAGCCGAGAGTCTTTTCGACGCGTCGACGGAAAGATAGAGGAAGTCGCGGGCGAGGCGAGGCGAGAAGAAGACTGAAACACGGGACCGATCCCTTCCTTTGAAGTCGACCGAGCGAAAAGAAATCACGTCGACGGCGAACCGAGCATTCCGCGTGGCCTAGCCGAGAGAGAGAGAGAGAGAGAGAGAGAGAGAGAGAGAGAGAGCGGCTAGAGAGGAGAGACCAGGTCGTCTTCTGGCCCGCCGTGTGTCTACGATTCGAAATAGAACGCAGGAGGAAAGAGGAGGATTCGAAGAGAAGAGACTGCTGGTCGGGACGAGAGACACCCCACCTGTCGCGTTAGACGAGACACTCGTCTCATTTGTTCCCGACCACCCTTTCGTTCCCATCGGACTCTCTTTGCCATTCTTCTCGCGTCGGAACCTTGAGCCGACGCCACGCGAAATCTGGGTCGAAGCCGCGACTGCACAGACGCTCTGTGCTCTAATCTTCTTTTCCCTACGAATGAATACACACTCGCTCGAACTATGTGTTCCGAATGGTTTCAATTAATTTCACGCTTTCCTCGTTTTATCGGCTGTTTGACCATTTGCCACTCGACCGGGACCACTCTCTCTCTCTCTCTCTCTCTCTCTCTCTCTCTCTCTCTCTCACTCTCCCTCCCTCTCTCTCTCTCTCTCACTCTCTCTCTCTCTCTCTATCTCTGATGTCAGAAAATGATTTTCACATTCTTTACGTTCAAGGTATTGCTGAAAGGGTAACACGCTTGAGTCGCGAAGCTTGACACTGTATTGTGCATAAAATGCCACGAGATGCAACGTAGAAATATACTATAGANTCTCTCTCTCTCTCTCTCTCTCTCTCTCTCTCTATCTCTGATGTCAGAAAATGATTTTCACATTCTTTACGTTCAAGGTATTGCTGAAAGGGTAACACGCTTGAGTCGCGAAGCTTGACACTGTATTGTGCATAAAATGCCACGAGATGCAACGTAGAAATATACTATAGATCAGGAAAACTGTTTTAGGTTTAGCAAATTAATTGATTCTTTACGCTCGAAATTGTTGGCAGTGTACTTACTATAAACTACAAAAGCAAATCTAGCGATGCTATTCCTGGTTGCAGGAATATCCATAATGATTCGTAATTTATGATAATAGATGAAGCTATATTTTATATTATTGCACTGTTTTTTTTTTAAGTATACAGTACAATAAAATAAAACGTAAAATATCTTTATATAAATATGATAGATAAATAAAATATCTTTATATAAATATAAAGATATTGTACATTTTATTTTATTGTACTGTATACTTAAAAAANATGATAGATAAATAAAATATCTTTATATAAATATAAAGATATTTTACATTTTATTTTCTTGTACTGAATACTTAAAAAACAGTGCAATAATATAAAATATAGCTTCATCTATTATCGTAAATTATGAATCATATATAAAGATATTTTATATTTTATCTTATTGTACTTTATACTTAATTTATAATACTTATATTTATATTATATTATTATATTTATAAGTTTATATTATTTCGTTTGAGTACTAAATATGTGTATATTATCATTGTATAGCGAATATATACACATATATCTCTATATTTGCCATTTCCATGAAGTATATAAATATTTGGTTGGCAACTGAGTAATTGCCGATTTCAGTTATAGATGTCTCTCACTCTCATTTTTATGATATCCGTAAATGTTATATTATAAAATTATTATTATTATTATTATGTTATTTTTTATTATCCGTGAATGTTAGCAACTGGACAAATTGAATGCAGCGGTCAAGGAAAAGCGACCAGGATTGGTCGATCGTAAAGGTGTCATTTTCCAGCAGGACAATGCTAGGCCGCACGCGTCTTTGTCCACTCGGCAAAAATTGATGGATATTACTTAGGAATCGATGTTACACCCACCGCATAGCCCTGATCTCGCGCCATCGGATTACCACTTATTTCGATCCCCGGACAACTCCCTTCGTGGTAAAACTTTTAACGACGACGACGCTGTAAAATCTCACTTAACTCAGTTTTCGGCCGAAAAGGATCAGACTTTCTACGAGCGTGGAATTTTCAAGCTGTCAGAGAGATGGCGAAAAGGTCATCGAACAAAATGGAAAATACATTACAGATTAAACTTCGTTCCAAGTAAAAAGAAATTTTCTATTTCATCGAACAAATCGGCGATTACTTAGTTGCCAACCCAAATAGAATAATTCACGTGTAGCAGCACGCGACGCCGGCCGTACCAAAACCCGCGCGACTGATTTCAGGTAGGCATGACGCAAGGTCGCTGTTATTATTATCGCGATTATTCTCGCGAACGCCGGTGCGTCACCGCGTCTGTTCTGGTCGTCAGCCCGTTCGACGCCGTTATCGCGCGGCCGCCATTGGTCGCCAATATTCGCGGCGATCGAGAAAAAACGCGATTAACGGAAGAACCGTGGAGCGCAGCGCGGAGCGTGTGCGAGGCGGCTTAATTTAGTGGTGGCGAGCGGTTTCGAGCTGTCAACGTCGGCTTCCTCGGCGAACGAGGTCTGCACGGGCAGAGACAGAGACGCGTGGAAATCGGGCGCCCTCGCTTTCTTTCCTCCTCCTCCTCCTCCCGCCCCCTCCCTCGCCGCCGCCGCGGCCACTCCTCGTTCTCGTGCGCGTCGCCCGACGTCTCCAAAGGAACAAAACGGAACGGAAGTGGAAAAGGTCTATCTATAGCCAGACGCGATGAGCGTCTGCCGGTACCAAGCCGCCCCGCTCGAGCCTCCCGTAAGTGAACACGCGCGAATTCCTACGGAAATCGACGCTCTTCTTAGCTCGCGCGCCCCTTTCGGCTCGAATCCGAGCGTTGAAAAGTGCGCTTGTTAATCGTATCGCCGAGAAGTCCTCCGCGCTGTGTCGGTCAGTTTCTATGCTCCAGAAAGTCCGCGTAAAATACGTTTCCAATTTTCCATAAATTATAGATATTTTTTATTGTTATCATTTTGCAGAAATCATCTGAATATCTAGATTAAATTAACCCTTCGAACGGCGACTCCGAGGCGCTATCGAAAACTGTAACGTCATAAAATAATTTTATTAATCAGATTTGTTTATATTTAAAGAACTGCTGAAAGCGTAACTGTTGCATGGATTACAATATTTAATTAAATACGCATAAAATGCATATAAAGTGGTAAATCCGTGGGTCGGGGAAACAGTTTGAAATTTTGCGTTCATTCGGCTTCGAGGGCAAAGGGTTAATTTTGCTGTAGGAGACAAAATGGTAGAGAAAGGTGATAGAGCACAGTATACATTGTTCTTTGAAGTTCTCTTTAACACCGAATCATTTCGACAGGTTTCTCACAGCATTTGTATTACTCATTTATTACTCATTATTATATTATATTATTATATTATATATATATTTTTTATTATATTATTATTATTTTGATTTATTTATTTATTATTTATTTTTTATTATATTATTATTATTTTTTTTTTATTATATATATTATATTATTATATGACTCATTATTTCGACTTATTCTTATGGTTTCTCATCGTCAACAATTATAAAAACGAGCCGCAAGGCTCGAATCAATCGTATCTCCTTTTCCCGATTTGTCCAATTTTGTCTGTAAATTGAAGGGTGAAATTAGGGTGAATTTACTGCGCCACGCGCGCCTGTAATTAAAGGGAAACAATATTATTAATATAATTTCTGGAAACGATGTTTTCGAACTGAAACTGATTCGCGTCGCAAATCCGCTTCCGGTTCCGTCGCAAATTCGCTCTCGGTTCCGTCACCTCCGTGAATCATTCTCGGCGACGGCCACACCACGCCTCTCTAGCTTCCCGATAATTCATTTTAGAACTCTATCGAAACACAGATAAGCGATTATCGAGGAACATCGGGCGAGAAAGGCCTGCTCGAGGAGAATGCGGTGCCGATGGCCGAATTTCAGGTAAAAATGAGACCCAAGAGTTTCGTTGAAAGACGCCGATGCGAGCATGAAAGAACTAGAAACAGTACAAACCCCTGGCAGAAAGTATTCGTTCCACCGTTTCAGATGCGATAACTTTTTCCAAACTGGTTCAATCGGTTTCAATCGTTTTTCAAGCGTTAAAGGAATTAGTTTACTGTACAATGACTAGAGTATCTTTCTTTAAATTCTGCTATTACATGAAATGACAACGGACTGGTTTCTTCACTTTTTTATTTGAACCTGGAACGAAAATTTAAAAAATGCGTAGACACAGGCTAAAATTACACGCACACTGAACATTCCATCGAAAACATTTTTTCAGCTTGACTCTGCGCGTCAAACAACTTTCTATGTAATTCTCAGTTTACGTATAATTTGCATTGCCAATCTTTTTTTTGCATTACCAAGATGTACCAAAAACGCATTATAAATAATGAATATAATATATATATATATATATATATATATATATATATATATATATATATATATTT